TTGCACTCCATAATTATGATAAAATGAATTGATTGATTATGGGGGGAAAAGATTATATTTCTGTGCTGCAAAAAAAAGGTATTGCTTCAACAAAAATAGACATTTACTGGAAGAAAAGAAAAAAGATAAAGAAACTGATAGTAAGTTATATACATGTATGTAGCAATTATTTCACTATGCAGACAGGTCCTAAAAGAAGGCTGATTTTTTAAAATCTTATTCGTCAACACATTAATCTAATGACAAGCTAATTCAACATACAGTAACTTTTTGGGCCATATGGTATTATACTTTCCAACCACAAATTTCTGGGTACTGGTTGCTGTTGAGATAAGCAGTGTAGCAGCTAAATTAAGTGATCTGTTGCTACAACAGAATCCTGATCACAAATTGTGAATATCAGTACCGAAGGAGTTTATGAAATCTAATCTCATAATCCCAAACTTTCTGAACAACTTCCTAAACTCAGCTGTATACCATGGAACTTTCAAAATACGCACAATCTGAATACCTACCTGTGAAGGAGAGATTAAAGAATGAGCCGTCCTTAGTGATAGAAGCCATAATAGAGGAGGAAAAGGGTTGTGATTTGAATATGCCTGAGGAAAAGAGTGGTATATTAGAAGAGACGGAGAAGGTAGAAGAGAGAAAGGGGAAGGTTGAAATATACTTGGTGGAGGAGGGGGAGAAAGGAAAAGGAGAGGAGCAAAAGATGTCAGTCTGGGAGGAAAGTATAAATGTCCAGGGAGAGCAAGGGTTTCAGAGTAAGCTAGAGGGAGAGATGATGAGAAGGAAGGAAGTATTCAAGAGATTTTACAAATTTAAGAGTTGGTGGATTATTACCGGACCCAGAGCCTAAGAGAGAGAAAGAGACAGTAGTGGAAACCCAGGAGTGGACCATTATCGAATTCCTGCGTGGGCAAGGTAGAGGAAAGAGGGTGATCTGTCTGGACCCCACCAACAACCAGCCACCAAAAGAAGGGGACTGGGCGAGACACTCATGTTGCGGGACAATCTGTGCAGTGAGGAGCGCGCCCCTTTGGAAGCCCACCGACAAGGAACATTTTGGCCCAGCACCCCAATAAGCTTATTCAGACTTTAGACAAGAATTTACGTCTCCCAGTTATGGCCTGTTACCAATGTTGTTTTGTTTTGACCCTATTGGAATAGTTGTTGAAAAGCCTGAAGCAAATAAAAACCGAATCATGAGTTCAGTTAATTTGCCTCCGTCTTTATTTCCCGCCAAAAATGAGGAACTGCCAAAGGATTCAGACTAACCCGATCACACTAGCACTGCAATTTAAATGTACAAAAGAACTGTAAATAGAAAAACACATGCAACATTCCCCTGTTCTCCTGTGACATAGCAGAAGGAGCTGCTCTCATGAACATTGTACAAGTCCAGGTCTGGATGGAAGAGTTTGGACTAATACATTACTAGTGAGCATTTATAAAGAAAGAAAGCAGAACTGTAAAGACTGAGGCGTGTGGTACCTATCCCAGGGAAGGAAGCAGAAAAAAACATAAAATATGCATCTAGTATCCTGGCATGCTGTAAGGAAAAGTTGAGTTTCATAAGCCCTATTCAGTCAGTCCCTACCCAGATAAGCTCACTACAGTGCTCTGCCCTTTTATGCTGAATGTCAAATCTGCATAAGAGATGTTCCTGCTTGTATGTAGTCTGCACATATTACCCTGTTTCCCCAAAAATAAAACCTAACCTGAAAATAAGCCCTAGTATGATTTTTCTGGATGGTCATAATGTAAGCCCTATCCCAAAAATAAGCTCCAGTTAAATGAAACCCCGCCCTGCACCATTGTGCAGCAACTAAAAATGATATGACTGTATTTGAATAAATGTAGATGAAAAAAATGAAAAAAAATTAAACATCCCCTGAAAATAAGCCCTAATGTGTTTTAGGAGCAAAAACTAATATAAGACTCTGTCTTATTTTCAGGGAAACACAGGATCAAGAATTCTGATCTTGCTTGTGTGGAAAGCCTACATGTGAGTAGGAACATCTTCCCAACAGATTTGTTACTTTCCATGTATAGAAACAAACAATGAAGAGAGGAAAATAAGAGAGCAGTAAGACAGTGGAACTTATTACCTTCAGAGGTGGTGAGTGCTCCAATACTGGAGACATTCAAGAGAAACTTAAGACAACCACCTGGCAGATATTGTCTGATTTGTGTTCTTGCATCGAGCAGGGGATTGAATTTGATGACCCAACCACCTGGCAGATATTGTCTGATTTGTATTCTTGCATCGAGCAGGGGATTTAATTTGATGACCTTATAGGCTCCTTCCAATTTCACTATTCTATGATTCTATGAAAGGTTAGCTGCTTCCATTTAAAGATTGCAAGCTTATTCAGGTAAGGAATAACTGAATACAAATTATGTGCTACTCATGCAATGCTGATTTTGGGTGACCTTCTAAGGGCATTCAAGGTATAAAGTACTCAGAAGTGGTTTACCAGTGCTTTCTTTTTGTGGTGTCCTAGGACCTTGTAGCTTCCTTAAGGCCACACACAGGCTGGCTCTTTTCCCAAATGGCACAGAGGGGAACCAAACATCCAGGTGTTCCAAGTCATTGAATGAGCTTTTCAGAGTTTTAAGCTCTGAATAAAGCTTAACATTTTCAATTGAACCAAGTTTTGTGAATTTCAGTTTTTTTGCAGTTATTGTCTATGTTTTTGGTTTCAGAGTGGCTTCCTTTTACTATTTCTGGAGAGCAAAGAACAGTGGGGGACATAATTTTATTTTATTTTTGCCTTGACTGCAAAGGTTGGTAGTTTCACCTCTGAACAGAAATCTTTCTTTATTTCTTATACAACTTATAGTTAAAAATCCACAATTAAGTAAAAAAAACTTATTTAAAACATTTTTAGTTTGGATTGAATGGATCCTTCACATGCAGTGAACATGCTTTATTAGTGTCTTCAAAGGTATACATACAAGAGTGGTAGAATAAATGAATGAAATTCACAATCCCATGAGCAAACTTCTAGGGAAAGCACCAATTAACAAAATGAACTACTGTATATCTCTTCTGGCAATTGATAATTAATTGATTACTATACTAATCAAATTATTCATTTGGACATTAACCCTATCCTATCTCCTAGGGTTCAGGAGGGCAACTGGAAGAAATACATATACTTTCAAACACACAATATAAACAAAATGCTGCCTGCTAATATCTCCTATTTATCATCCTGCCATAAACCACCTGTCCTGAAAAAAAGAGCTTTTGATTCTTTCAAAGGTACATTTAGAATTGCTCTAACACACAGAAAAACCTTCCTGCATCAGTGTATGAAAACATGGCCTAAGAGAGTTAGGTCTTGTACATTACTAGCCCCTCATTGTTATTTACTCCTTGTTTGTGGTGATGACTCATTCTCTAAACCAAGTCTGCTGGGCACAGCTATCTCCTTGATTATATCTAATTTTCCATTTTTGTATCCTATCACTGCCATTTTAAAGGGTATTCATGTTTACTATGTTTGCTTGCATATGCACATGGTCCCTCACTACACCTGCTGCCTCCTCTCCTTGCCTCCCACAATAAGGCTGAAATAAGGTTTAAGAGTATAATTTTAATAATATGATATATTTAAGTACAGTATCTCATCTTGCTATATGTATTGGGTGCATGGGGAGCTAAGTGACTAGTGTGTTTTATACGAACTTTTAAACTTTTTTTAAACAGTTGGTGAATTCTTGACCATTGCTTATTCTCATAAATTTTGAGTGTTGCTAAATGTTGCGTGTTTGATTAATGAATTTATTGGAATGCACTCTGGTGTAGAGTGCAATATAAGTAAATATAATATTATTATCAGTTTATATTATCTGAAGAAATGTGAATTTTTCCTAGTTTGAATAGAAGCTCGTTTTTCAGTTTCACAGTTGCATTATATCAGCATTATCTTCCCTGTTCTCAATTTTAAATGTCTCAATGGTCCAAATTCTTGGACGCAATATTTTAAAGCAATTTTTAGTGTCAATTGCCACTAAGAAAAATGAGACTGGTGAGGAATAGTAATATTGGGCCGCAATTTGTCACAGATATGCCAAATTCTCTATATTTTTGTTGGGTTATGTCCTCGTTCTTGTGCTGGAATACCAATTGTTGTGAACCGGCTGTCTGGATGTTGCTTCCCCACCCCCCCTTGCACAACCCCCACTGAGTTCTATGGTACTTTTCTTGTAGTAACTTGACTCTCGCAATTCATTTCTATATCTCTGCATTCTGAGGTAAATCTCAGTGAGCTTAATGGAACTATCCTCCCAGCGAAGTCTGTCTCTATAGGATTACTGCCCAGACCAACCATTTCATTAGTGTCTTCCCAACCAAACGTCGTTACGTGTAAACAGACACCTTCCTACACTCAACAGATAACTACAGTATTATAGTATTTCTCTTTAACCACATATCGGCCCAACGCTATGTAAGGCTATGGAATGGCACAGATAAAAGCCCCAATCCAGCAAGTACTGATCTTTACGTGCGCTTTATATCTTTTAAGATTAACACGCTCTTACATCCGTTTAGCAGGTTGGAATCTTCCTTCTGAGAACAAAAAAGGCCGAAAAATAAAATCAATTCTTTAACACAATTCCCAGGGCCGCCATCCGTAACCCACTACTACTACTACTACATATAAACCCAGCCCCCTTTCAGCCGCCACCCTTCATTGTTCTTGCCGTCTCGGCAGGCTACCGCGCCGCTCTCTCCGTCCTCGTTCAGTTTCAAAACCCCAACGCCCCTCAACTGCTAATTTCTCCTCTCTCTCACGCGCACATATATACACACAGAGAGAGAGAGATAGAGAACGGCGCTCGCAGAGGCGCGAGCACCACGCGCTCGCTCGGCCTCTTTGGAAGCACCCGCGCGCGCCCGCTGGCTTTTGACCTGACACACGTACGCGCGCGCGCGCACTCTTTCGTACGGGCGGGGCGCGCGCGTGCAAAAAAAAAGAAAGAAAGAAAAAAAGAATAGCCTTTCGCTGACTCCTCGCGGGGGCGGAAGGGAGGTGAGCGGTGCTCGCGCCGAGCTCGCAGCAGAACGCCCGAGCGGGCACGCGCATGGCACAGTCTCTCTGTGAGAAAAGGCGGGGAGAAGGGAAAGGAGACAACCGGGGCGGGGAGTGAGGCGGCTGCTGGTGCTGCGTTCCGTGTGGCGAAGGAGAGACGCTGTCGAACAGGAAGCGCTGCCACCACCACATCCAGCGCCGCTCCGTGCCTGTACTGAAGCGAAAGGGGCAAAGTCTGGGCTTGTGAAAGGAGGTGTGAGGCGGCGCCGGGAGACGGGATTCCTATCCGCCAGCCTCTGTTTTCGTTTTTTTTCCTCTCCCCCCCCCCTTTTTACAATCTACCGGGAGCTCCGTGTAGAAGCCGCGCGGCCCGGCGCGGCCCTCCTATCGTGTAGGTGGCTCCGAGAGCCCCAGAGGGCGGCTGAGGAGGATGTCGGGCGGCGGTGGAGGTAGCCGGGAAGAGGAACGGCGCAAGCTGGCCGACATCATCAACCACTGGAACGCGAACCGGCTGGACCTGTTTGAAATTAGCCCCCCCACAGAGGTGAGAGACTTGAGATATAAAGCGGCGGAGGGAATGCCTGGTTTCTCCCCTCACTCCCCGGCCATAAACGGGCAGAGATTAACGCTCTCCCCCCTCCCCCTTCCCTCCCCCCGTCCAGTGCACACACCGGTCAGCTAGTCCTCCTCCCTTCCCCTCACGGAGGTGAGGCCGCCAGCAGCGCTTCCTACCGACGCCTCCATCCTCACCGAGGGGGGGAGGGAGGCTCCGCCCCTTCCCGAGGTGAGAGAGAGAGAGAGAAAGAGAGAGAGAGACCCAGCCATTCCAGGGTTGCCCTGACGCCTCCCGCTTCCACCACCACCCCGTTTCCCCATATTTCTCGGAAAAGGCTCCGGTTTTGCCTTCTGCTCTGTTTCATGCTATTGTAGTGACACGATCGCATTTGAGGAGGTGATACCCGGCTGCCCCCAAAGTACCCTTTTCACGAAGAGAGGGGCAGGAGGCCGATCTCTGCGGGCCGTCGCCTGTTCTCTGCGAGGAAATAATCCAGCCCTACCTGCGCTCCAGTCTCTATTTGTGTAAAGATAACACCCCCATCCGGCCATTTCCACCCTGTGGGGAAGAAAGGGATATTGTTCCCTGATCTTCTTTGGCCCGCTTCACACACCGGCCTGTATCGAGCAACTTCCCCTCTTTTGATTCCGTAGCGCCCCCACCTCTTTTTCTCGAGCAGAGATTTCCCTTTCTTTTGAAGTATCATCCAGCCCTTATAGGTCTCATTCACCCTCGTGATTCATGGGTCAGCCTGGCCTTAGGAAATTCCTTATCATTTGCTGATCCTTTTGCACTTTCGCTAGTACCACCTGACCGATCCCAAATATTACCTTTTTCCTCCTCCCAGACTGTCTCTCGGTCTAGGAATGTACAGTATATGGAAGCAGGGTGATCGTTACCTTCTCATGCCCTTAAAAATCAGGATCATGAGTCAGGAGGAAATGTCTCAGGTGACCTGGTGAAGTCCATTTATTTGAGGGAGGGACACTTTACAGTGTCTCAAGTAAGAAACTTGTGAAGGGGGAAAATTCCCACTGTTTGGGATAGGGGCACTGCAGAATTTCGTTTAAACAGCTTCAGAAAAAAGAGAAATAAGATTAAAAGATGTTACATTCACCGTTAAATGTTTGGCTTAAAATTAATGCTTGAGATTGATCAAAACAATGACAAGACCAATGTGAAATTCTACTGGAAAAAAATTCAGTTGATTTTACTTGTTAAAAGTTTCTCTTACTGAAAGAAGCTAGAGACGCTTTACAAGTAATGTCAGGCCACACCTCATTGCTGTTGTTGTCACATTCTTTTTGGTTGGTCAGTCTCTATGCATGAGTCAGATGTGAAAGGTGGCGGTGTGGGAGAGTTTTGATAGGTAGATGGCTCTTTCCTGGGCAAAACAGCACTATAATCTCTGCTTATTGGGTGGAGGTGGGTCATGTGCTTGTTCCTAAGTCAAAGAAGGAACATTACACTTGCCTTGCTATGTTTTATTTAAGAAACACATGGTGAACAATAATAGATTGTGTTTTTACAAGTTTTAAATAGGTTTGAGGTTTTTTAAAGTTATAAATATGTAATATCTCTATAGAACACTCAAAGATTTATTTTCTAAAACCTTGATTTTACCTTGGAAAAACAAAATAGCTTCTGTTCCCATTCTCATGAATTGTGCAGAATTTACGTTTGCAGTGTGTTAATACTCTGGGGATTTATAACAAAAACAAAAATAGAAATGAAGGTTGCAGAAATTTGTATTACTGTGAACTTTGGGGACTGTGATTCCATGTTTTTCTCTTCAAATAGACATTTTTAAAAACTGCAAATGAACTTGCTTATTTTGGAGGGAATTATACTGCTAGCTCTAATTCTTATCATATAAGATTGGATAATTAATGCAGATACTTGATTTTACAGGAGTACTTTTCTGGGCTATCTTTTATGATGGATTACAATTGTGCAGTCATTTTGTTAGGAACTGCCAGTTTATGAGTTGAAAATCTGGGTATCTTATATTATTTGTTGCTTTTGTTATTTAGTTGTTAAGTAGTGTCTGACTTTTCGTGACCCCATGGACCAGAGTACGCCAGGCCCTCCTGTCCGCCACTGCCTGCTGGAGTTTGGTCAAATTCATGTTGGTAGCTTCAGTGATACTGTCCAACCATCTCGTCCTCTGTCATCCCCATCTCCTCTTGCCTTCACATTTTCCCAACACCAGGGTCTTTTTCAGGGAGTCTTCTCTTCTCATGAGATGGCCAAAGCATTGGGGCCTCAACTTCAGAATCTGTCCTTCCAGTGAGCATTCAGGGTTGATTTCCTCCAAAACCAGGGGACTCTCAAGAGTCTCCTCCAGCACCACAATTCAAAAGCATCAATTCTTCGGCAGTCAGCCTTCTTTGTGGTCCAACTCTCACTTCCATACATCGCTACTGGAAAAACCATAGCTTTGACTATGTGGACCTTTGTCAGCAAGGTGATATCTCTACTTTTTAAGATCCTGTCTAGGTTTGTCATTGCTTTCATCCCACGAAGCAGGCGTCTTTTAATTTCATGGCTGCTGTCCCCATCTGCAGTGCTCATGAAGAAAGTAAAATCTATCCCTGCCTCCATAGCTTCCTCTTCTATCTGCCAGGAGGTGATGGGACCAATGGCCATGCCCTTAGGTTTTTTTTTTTTTTATGTTGAGCTTCAGACCATTTTTGGGGCTCTTCTCTTTCACCCTCATTAAGAGGCTCTTTAATTCCTCCTCACTTTCTGCCGCCAAAGTGGTATCATCTGCATATTTGAGGTTATTGCTATTGTTCTTCAGGCAATCTTAATTCCGGTTTGGGATTCATCCAGTCCAGCCTTTCGCTTGATGTATTCTGCATATAAGTTAAATAAGCAGGGAGACAATGTACAGCCTTGTTGTACTCCTTTCCCAATTTTGAGCTAATCAGTTGTTACTACATGCCCTCCAATTACTTCCAAGTTATGGTGACCGTATTAATTAACCCTCCAAAAACCCTTCCCCTTGACAGCCGTACTCAGGTCTTAAAAGCTGTGTATTGAGTCTATCAATCTTATGCCAGATCTTCCTCTTTCTTAACATTACTATGTTTTCAAATGAGTAGAATTTTCTCATGATATGACCAAAGTATGATAACCTCCGTTTAGTCATTTTAGTTTCTAGTGGAAGTTCAGATTTGATTTGTTCTAGAGCCCACTTATTTTTCTTCCTGTTGGAGCATATGTAACACTCTTTCAAAACCACTTTTTGAATGAATATATATTTTTTTTTTCCTGATCAGGTTTCCTCACGGTCCAACATTCACAGCTGTAAATAGTAATCAGGAGTGCCATGGTATGGACAATTTTGGATTTGGTCTCCAGGAACACATACTGTACTTACACTTCATGATCTTTTCTACTTCATTTGTAACAGCCCTTTTAAGTCACAGTAGGCTTCTGACATATTGGCTATAGTCTTCATTTTGATTGATGACTGAATCAGGGCATGGAAATTCTTGAATAATTTCAATTTCTTCGTCAATTACAGTTATGTAATCCTTCTGTAGGCCTTTTTTGGTTAATCTTTAATTTCCCTCAAAAACCATTTTAAGTTATTGCTGTTTTCTGCTAGTTAATATGGTGTCACCTGCATATCTTAGATTTATATTTCATCCATCAATTTTTATGCCTCTATCTGTCAAATATGTGATACCCACTTCTTTTGAGAATTCTTTTTTCCAAGATAATGGAACAACCGATACCACTGGAAAAATGGTCTGCCATTGTCTGCATGGGTAATATTGTATTGTGGGGGGTCAGTGCTTTGAGGACATCCATTGATGCTTATCTTGTTACATGTAATGTGATTTGAGTTGACATCTTTATATACCTTAGCTTGTTTCCCTGTGTGATTTCAATACTACTATGAAGTTTGACTTACCTTTTCATTTAAATGTATTATAATTCATTTAATAACTCAAATTGCTATTGGTGTTTATTAAATTTATTAAGATGTCTTATAGAAGGGTTATGTAAAATGTCTGTTGCAGCTGATGGACATGAAGATGGACCATTATTACTTGTGGTCCTCTAAATCGGGTCTCCAAACCTTTCAGCATTAGGGATACATAATATATTTTACACATTTTTGAGGGCTGGAGAGAATGGACCTGAGCCTGCAGACCTGCATCTGCAGCGTTCGCCGGGCTGAATAAAAAGGGAAGGCAGGCCAGATGTGGCCCACGGGCTGTAGTTTGGAAACCTGTGCTCTAAATGCTAGCAACATTTTTTAAAAATAGTTTTTTACTGAGCACACATTGAAAATTTCATTCATTGGTGTTTCTTTCTACCTCATCCATATTTTTTCATGTAAGAGCAGTGTGCAGAATCATCTGTCTTACTGTGAGAACTAAGCTTGTTGTTGTTTAGTGGTTAAGTCGTGTCCAATTCTTCGTGACCCCATAGACCAGAGCACGCCAGTTCCTCCTGTCTTCCAGTGCCTCCTGGAGTTTGGTCAAATTCATTTTGGTAGGTTCAGTGACACTGTACAACCATTTCGCTCTCTGTCGTCCTCTTCTCTTGCCCTCACACTTTCCCAACATCAGCGTCTTTTCCAGGGAGTCTTCTCATGAGAGGGCCAAAGTATTGGAGCCTCAGCTTCAGGATCTGTCCTTCCAGTGAGCACTGAGGGTTGATTTCTTTCAAAAGGGATAGGTTTGTTCTCTTTGCTGTCCAGGGGGCTCTCAAGAGTCTCCTCCAGCACCACAATTCAAAAGCATCAATTCTTCGGCAGTCAGCCTTCTTTATGGTCCAGCTCTCACTTCCATACATCGCTACTGGAAAAATAATAGCTTTGACTATACGGACCTTTGTCGGCAAGGTGATGTCTCTCCTGTTTAAGATGCTGTCTAGGTTTGTCATCACTTTCCTCCCAAGAAGCAGGCGTCTTTTAATTTCGTGGCTGCCTCAGTTTGTTGTGGTTGACACAGTTAAAGGCTTTTGTG